CACCTTTGGTCTGGGAGGAATCTTCGTCCGTCTTGAAGTTTGGCCCTCGGACGGCCCGTTGCAGCGCGGCGCTCCTGCCAGTGAATGACTGCCCTTCCACCCAGGAAAGAAAGGCCTGACCCTCCATCTCTTGTGTGCACTTGGTGCACCACTCTCGGAACTACGTGGACAGCAAGAGCTTTCTGTGCAAGCACCTTTGGTTTGGGAGGAATCTTTGTCTGTACTGAATTTTGGGAGGGATCACCCCCAGACCCCTGGTCCTCCCCAGACTGCCAATTCCACCCCTGGGAGCACCCCCCGCCCCGATACCCCCTGGACCCCCGGATCACCCCCAGACCCCTAGTACTCCCCGGACACCGGTACTGCCCCCCAGACCACCCCCAGACTCTGGTACCGCCTTTGGGATCACCCCTAGACTGCCGGTATCCCTGGACTGCCTGTACTGACACCTGGGATCACCCCCAGACCCTAGTACTGCCTTCGGGATCACCCCTAGACTGCCAGTACCCCTGGACTGCCTGTACTGACCCCTGGGATCACCCCCAGACTGCTGGTACCCCCCAGACCGCTGGTACCCCCCAGACCACCGGTACCACCCCCACAATCACCCCCAGACCTTGCTACCCCCAGACCTCCTGTACCAACCCCCGCATCACCCCCGGGGCTGCTTCCAGACGCCGAGACGCCCCCAAACCACCCCCTAGACCTGGCTCCCCCTTCCCAGTACCTCCCAGTATTGCCCCCTCCCCCTCTCCTGGTACTCCCCAGGGGCTCCTGGTGCCCCTAGTCCCCCTCCAGTCCTCCCAGTGCCCTCCCGCCAGTGCTGTGGGGACCCCTCTGGTATAGCCCACCCCCCAGGGAGAGCCCCAACCTCCCCCAATGCCCCCAACTTCTCCTTCAACCAGCCCCTCTCAGTGCCCCCCCAGCCCCATGGCCTGCAGACCCAGGGTGCCTCAGTCCCCCCAGTCGACCCAGTACCATCCCACACCATCCCCAGGATCACCCAGTGCCTCCCAGTACTGTCCCAGGTCCTGCACTGGGAGCTGCGGTGGGACACCCAGACCCAGGGGGTTCACCCAGAGCCAGGGGGGGACAGTCAGTGTTGGGGGGGACACCCAGAGCTCAGGAGGGACACCCAGTATTGGGGGGAACACTCAGACCAGGAGGCCATCCAGAGCTGGGGAAGGGGACACCCAAAACTGGAGGGGACACCTATACCTGGGGGGGGACACCTAGAGCTGAGGGGGACACCCAGAGCTGGAGGGAGACACCCAGAGCCAGGGGGACACCCAAAGTTGGAGGGGGGGGACACCCAATGTTGGGGTGGACAGCCAGACCCAGAACTTTGGGTGACACCCAGTGCTGGAGGGGGGTCACCCAGAGCCAGGGAGGGGGCACCCAATGTGTGCTGGCACAGGGACCCCAGTGCCGCTCTGGGGGTCCCCAGTGCCACGTGGGGAGCCCAGGGGTTTTTTTTGGCAGGGGGGCTTTCCCCCCCTTTCCACTCAAAGCCCAGTGATCCCACAGGTGATGGGGGAACACCCTGAGGGGTCCCAGGACACTTTGGGGGGACACACAACACAGAGGGAGGGGAAATGTAGGCCCCCTGCCCCCCCCAGCAGCTCCACACCCCTGTAAGGGGCCCCCCCAGCCCCCTTTTTGGGGAGGGGTCCCAACCACGCCAGAGACCCCTCCCCCCTTCCAGCCTCCACTAAACACCCTACTCCAGGGGAGTCCCCCAAAACCCAACCTCTTTTATTACAACAAAGCTGTACAGTTTGTGGGGGGGGTCACGCAGCCCCCTCTACCCCGAGGGATAAGCCTTGATGATCTTGACATCATCCAGGGGCCGGTCCTGGGCATTGGTCTCCACCATGGCCAGGCGGCCCAGCACGCCCATGCCCTGGCACACGCGCCCGAAGATGCTGTGCTTGCCATCCAGCCACTGCGCAGGGCCCAGTGTCAGGAAGAACTGGCTGCCATTGGTGTCTGGCCCCGCGTTGGCCATCGCCAGGATCCCGGCGCCTGAGGGACATGGGGACATGGGGACAGGGACCTCAGGGAGGCACACGGCACCCCATGGCCAAGGTTTTAGTATCACAGCGAACAGGTCACCTCATGGATGGGGACTCAGGGGACATGGGAGCTCATGGATGAGGACTCAGGGACATGTCACCTCAGGGATGGGGACACGGGGACATGGACCTCAGGGGGAGGACATGGGGACATGGCACCCCTTGGCTAAGGTTCATGTCACCTCCAAGGATGGAGACAGAGGAGACATGGCACACCTTGGCCAAGGTCTTGGTATCATGAGGGATATGTCACCTCATGGCTGGGGACTCAGGGACATGGGAGCTCAGGGATGGGGACACAGAGAACATGGCACCCCATGGCTGAGGCCTTGGTATTATGGGAACATGGCACGTCATAGAAAGGGATGGAAAAGGCATGGCACCCAATGGATGGGGTCCTGGGGGACATGTCACGCAGTGGAGGGGTCTTAGGGAACCTTAGGAAGAACTGGCTCCCATTGGTGTCTGGCCCTGCATTGGCCATTGCCAGGATCCCAGTGCCTGAGGGACACGGGGACAGGGACCTTGTGGGGGGGACACGGGGACCTGGACCTAAGGGGTGGGGACATGGGGATACAGGGACATGGACCTCAGGGGTGGGGACACAGGGACGTAACACCCCATAGAAAGGGACATGGCACCCCATTGATAAGGTCCTGGTACCATGGGGGACATGCCATCCCATGGATGAACCCCCATGAATGGGGTCAGGGGGGACATGGCACCTCATGGTTGGGGTCCTGAGGGACACAGGGACATTTCAATCCAAGGATGGGGACACAGGGGACATGTCACCCCATGGCCAAGGTTCTCACACAATGGTGGCCATAACATTCCTATGGATGATCCTTCATGGATGGGGTCTTTGGGGATACGGGGGATGTGTCACACCATGGATGGGTCCTGAGGTCCTGGTGGATATCCCACCCCTTGACCAGGGTCCTGGGGATCCCAGGGGCCCCAGGGGGTCTTCCCTGCTATAGGTGGGGTCCTGGGGATCCTGGGGGTCCTGGGGGTCTTGCCTGCTATATGTGGAGTCCCAGGGTCCTGGGGAGTCCTGCCCTGCTATAGGTGAGGTCCTGGGGATTCCGGGGGTCCCAGGGGTCCTGCCCTGCTATAGGTAGGCTCCCAGTTTCCCGGGGGTCCCAGGGGTCCAGCCCTGCTATAGGTGGGCTCCCAGTGTGCTGGGGGTCCCCTCCCACTCACCAGTGAACTTCAGGTCAGGGTGCAGCTCATCCTCAAACTGCTTCCCATAGATAGAGGCACCGCCGCGGCCTGGGGGAGGATTTGGGGAGTCAGCAGGATCCCTGGCATCGGAGGGGGGTGTCCCAGGGGGATCCCGGGGGGTGTCTCATGCTCACCGGTGCCCGTGGGGTCCCCACCCTGCACCATGAAGTCCTTGATGACACGGTGGAACTTGGTGCCATTGTAGTACCCGCGACGGCTGAGCTCGGCAAAGTTCTTACATGTGCGGGGGGCGTGCAGCCAGTACAGCTCCAGCACCAGGGATCCCATCCTGGGAATGGGAATACTGGGAATGGGAATGGGGCTGTGCAGCTAGGACAGCTCAAGCACCAGGGACACTGGGACACTGGGAATACCAGGAATGAAATGGGAACAGCACTGGGAATGGGGGCTGTGCTGCCAGTGCAGCTCCAGCACCAGGGATCCCATCCCAGGAATGGGAACAGTGGGAATGGGAATGGTCCCAGGAAATGGGCTCACCCCACTGTGACTCCATGGGATCAGGGCAGAGGCACAGTGGGGGGAAGGGAGGGGATCGGGGGGGCAATGGGGGGTAACGGGACACCGGGGGGACACCGGGGGGGCAACCGGGACTGGGGGCACTGGGGGATAACGGGGCTGGGACTGGCAGACACCGGGAACAACGGGACATGGTGGGAACACCGGAGGGGTCTCCAGTCCCGGCGGGGTAACCGGGGCTGCCCCGACTGGGAGACACCAGGAGCTTCTCCATGCCCACCGGGGAACCAGGCGCTGCCCGGGACACACCCCGGGTCATGGACACCGGTGGACACTGGGGGGGCTGGGGGACACCGGGGGCTGCCCGGGACCGGGGGGACACCGGGGATCATGGACACCGGGGGGGGCTGGGGAACACCGGAGGGGACTGGGGAACACCAGGGGCTGCCCGGGACAGGGGGGACACTGGGGGGGGCTGGGGGGACACCGGGGGCTGCCTGGGACCGGGGGAACGCCGGGGATCACGGACACCAGGGTTGTTTGATACCCGAGGGTCTGGGGGCTCACAGACCCCGGGGACTGCCCGGTCCCGGGGGCTCACGGACACCGGGGTGGCTCAGGAGGGACCCCGGGGGTTGCCCGGTCCCGGGAGCTCGCGGTCTGTGGGGGCTGCCCGGTACAAGGAGGGACCAGGGGGACACCGAGGGTTGGTGGCAACGAGTGGTCTGTGGGCTCATGGACCCCGGAGGTTTCCCGGTCCCAGGGGGGGTTCAGTATCGAGCCTGGTACCGGGAGTAGGGGAGTGGGGGTGGCAACCCCCGCTGTCCCTGCTGTCCCCGCGGCAGGGGGCGGGGCTAGGGGTGGGCGGGGCCTCTCCCGGTGCCGGCGGGGGGCCCGGGCCCGCTCCTTACGTGGTCTCCATGGACACCGTCGGGGGCTGCCACGAGTCGGGAGGCACGGCTGGCGCGGCGGCCATGGCGGGCGCGCGCTTCCGGGACACGCTCTCTTCCTGTCGCTATGAATGGAGGGCGGGGCGAGCGGGAGAGAGACAACCAATCAGCGCGAGCGCGCAAAGGAGATTGGCCAATCGGCGTCGCGGAGTAAGTAGGGCCAGCCAATAGGTGCGAGGAGGCGGGGCCGCCGCCGTTGAGCCGCAAGGGGCGGGGCAGTTCTATTAGGTCACGCCCCCTGCATGAAGCCACGCCCCCAGCGGCGCGCGCGGAGCGGGAGCCGGGGGCGGTGAGAGGGGAGGATGGCGGGGGGGGGATAAGGGGGGGACACGGGACCATCCTGGGGGTTTCGGGGGGGGCCCGGCGGGGAAACCGGCCAGGAGGGCACGGGCTGACCGCGGGGAGCACGGATGGACTTCCCCCGTGCGGGGCTGGGGTGACGCGGAGTCGGAGTGCGGGGCTGGGACCACCCAGAGGGGGCTGAGACCACCTTAGTGTGGGGCTGGGGACACCCAGGGATGGGCTGCGGGGCTGAGACCCCCCTGTGGTGCTGGGACCCTCTTACTATGGGGCTGGGACCCCCAGGGATGGGGGTGTGGGGCTCGGACCACCAGGGATCGGGATGTGGGGCTGGGACCCCCTTAATGTAGGACTGGGAACCGTGGGGTTGGGACTCTCCTGTGGTGCTGGGACTCTCTTAGTGTGGGGCTGGGACACCCAGGGGTCAGGTTGAGGGGCTGGACCCCCGGTGGAGCTGCGACTCCCTTAGTGTAGGGCTGGGGACCCCCAGGGATCGAGATGTGGGGCTGGGACCCCTTTAGTGTAGGTCTGGGACCCCCAGGGATGGGGGTGTGGGGCTGGGACCCTCAGTGTGGGGCTGGGACCCCCAGGGATCAGGATTTGGGACTGGGACCCCCCAGTGAGGCCGGAACCCCCTTAGTGCGAGGCTGGGGACCCCCAGGAGTGGGGGTGCGGGGCTGGGACCCCCTCGTGGTTCTGGGACTCTCCTAGCATGGGGTTGGGGACCCCCAGGGATGAGGGTGCAGAGCTGGGACCCCCCGTGCAGGAATGGGGTGACGGGGAGTTGGAGTGCGGGGCTGCGACCACCTTAGTGTGGGGCTGGGGAACCCGGGGAGTGTGGGGGGGTGGGGCTGAGACTCTCTTAGGAAAGGGCTGAGGTGCCTCAGGGATGGGGGTGTGGGGTTGGGACTCCCCAGTGTGGCTCTGAGGACCGGGGTGGGAGCTGGGACCCCCCGCTGTCGGACTGGGACCCCCAGAACTGGGAATGTGGGGCTGGGACCCCCATATGTAGTACTGAGGACCCCCGGGCTGGGGGTGCGGGACTAGGACCCCCATTGTGGCACTGGGGACCCCCTGTTGTGGCACTGGGGACCCCCAAGTATCGATTTGGGGGGGTGGGACTCCCCCAATGTGGCACTGGGGACCCCCGGGTTTGGGGTGCGGCACTGTGAGTCCCCCGGGCGGGGGTCCCCGGTGTCCCCTCCCCGTCCCTGTCCCCGTCCCGATGACGCGGAGCCTGGCGGTGCCTGGCACTGGCACAGGCGGTGCCACCCGGGCACTGGCCGGTGCCACCGGGTCCCCAGGGAGGTCGGGGACACCGAGGGAGGGTCAGGCCCTGGCGGGGGGACCCCGCCGGGGTTGGTGGTGACCCCCCCGCTCCCTCAGCAGCCCCGAGCCCAGGCGATGGCCGAGGACCGAGGTACGGCAGTGACAGTGGCAGTGCCAGCCTCGCGTGTCCCCTGTGTCCCCTCCCCGTGCAGGGGGGCCGGGGCTCGCCCCCAGTGTCCCCCGTGTCCCCTCCCCGCACGGGGGGGCAGGGGCTCACCCCCAGTGTCCCCCTAGATGTGCGATTTGTCACCGAGGAGAGCTTTGACTTCGGGATCCTGTCCCCCTCTGACAGGTACGGGGGGGCTGGGGACAGGGGGGCACAGGGGGGACAGGGGGACATGGGGGGGGACAAGGTGGGGACAAGGGGAGAGGGGAGATTGGCGGACAGGGCACCCCGCAGATGGGGACAGGGGGGACTGGGGGACATGGGGGACAGAGCACCCCATAGTTGGGACATGGGAGACAGGAGGGACATGACTGGGACATGGGGGGACAAGGGGGACATGGATGGGATTTGGTGGGCAGGTGGGACATGGCACCCCGTGGATGGGGACGTGGGGGGACGGGGGGACATAGATGGGATTTGGGGGACAGGGGAGACAGGGCACCCCATGGATGGGGACAGGGGAGACAGGGCACCCCTGTCTCCCCTGATGGATAGGGTTGTGGGGGGCATGGCACCTCATCCTTGGGGTCCTGGGGGACGTGGTATTCTATGGGCAGAGTCACAGGGCATGTGCCACTCCACAAACAGGATCCTGGGGGTCCTAGGTCCGTCCCACCGCATATATGTGGCTCTGGGGGATGTGTCACCCTGTGGGTGGGGTCCTGGGTGCCCTGAAGGATGTGTCACCCCATGGATGTTGTTCTGGGGGTCCTGGGAGTCCTGTGGACATACCCCCCCCCCGGATGTGGCTCTGGGGGTCCTGTGAACATGCCCCCCCCACCATGGATGTGGCTCTGGGGGTCCTGAAGGATGTGTCACCCTGTGGGTAAGGTCCTGGGGGACCTGGGGGATGTGTCATCCCATGGGTGGGGTCCTAGGGGTCCCGGGGGTGCCATAAGTGGGGTCCTCGCTGGGGTGGGGGATCCGTGCCACCCTTGCGGTGGGGGCGAAATGACAGCGGAGGGGTGGTGGGGACAGTGCTGAGCCCCCCTTCCTCTCCACCCCAGCCAGGATGAAGAGGAGGACGAGGAGAGCCCGGGCGGGGCGTCCCGGCGCGGGGGAGGGGGCAACGGGCGCTGGAGCCCCCTGCGAGGTGCCCGCCTGGAGGAGATGGTGCGGGAGGCCACTCGCTTGGCCGCCCAGCTCGAGGGGTGTCACCTGCTCCCCCCCGTCCCCGGGGACCCCCCTGGCCCCGCCGCCACCCCCCCAGGCACGCCTCGCAGTCCCCGGCGCCAGACGTTCGTGGTGAAGGACAGCCCGGTGAGGGCACTGCTGCCCACCGTGGAGTCCCAGGCACCGCCGGCTGCCAAGCCCCGGGGGGGGCCTGCTGCCACCGCTGTCCCCAAAGTAAGTGACACCCCGGGGGGTGTCCTCATCCATCTCCCCTGTCACCAGCCATGGGTCCCCCCTGTCCTCATCCATGTCCCCCCATCCCACCTGTCACCATCCATGGAGTCCCCCTGTCTCCTCTGTCCCCCCGTCCTCATCCAGGTCCCCCATGTCCCCCCCCGTCCCCCATGCCCCTCTGTCCCCATCCGTGTCCCCCTGTCCCCCCTGTCCCCTCTGTCCCCCATTGTCCCTCCATCCCCCCATAACCATCCATGGAGTCCGCCCTGTCCCCATCCATGTCCCCCCTTGCTGAGCACCGTCCCTGTGTGTCCCCCCCTCTTTGCAGACCTCCCCCAGCCGTCACTTCACGGCAGCGCCCAAGGGCCCCCCCGGGGGCAGGGGACCACCCCCCAGCCGCGGGGGCCCGCCCCGGTCGTGCCTCACCCAGGGGCAGGGGAGCAGTGCCCGGGGCAGGTCGGAGCCCCCCCGGGGGGCCACGGCAGGTACGAACAGAGGGGGGGGGACACCGGGACACCGTGCCCACGGGGAGGCCCAGGCGGTGCCCCCATGCCCCCCTCTCTCCCCAGGCCAGCCCAAGGCGAGAGGGGGCCCC